AAAAATGTAAACTACCATTAGTGTGATGCTTCTCAGAGTTCTGTTATCTGTAACCCCCCTTTTGTGTAACTTTCTGGACTATAAAGCTGGGCTGAAGGAAAGGTGGGGTTGCTGTCTTGTTCCCAACCGTTTTGGGAGGGAAAATGCAGCCCTGCCGGTCGAAATAATAAGCTTGCTTTAATTTGATTTTAATTGGAGTCAGTGGTCTTTTCTTGCGTCCTGGTCCAACAAAGGGAGGCTGATTTGTAAATCACGAATTATTATACAGTGTGGTAGGTGCTACCTCAGGGATACACATAAAGAAACCCAGACTTTGTGGGGGGTTGGGAGGGGGGGAGTCAAAGAAGGTTGCACAAAGGAAGTAACATTTGACCTGGGAACTAAGTGGCTTGAAAGGAAGCCGGCTGTGGGGAGATTGGAGTTGCAGGTTACCAAATTATCTGTCCTAGGGAGAGAGGCTCCAGTGCCTAGCCCAAGCGTGTAGGAGTGTGGGAGGAGGAGGGGGTTCATGTGAAGTGGAACAGGGCAGGCGAGGATTGGTTGGGAGGAACCGGGAGTTCCATCTGGTGGTTGACGGAAGCCGGAGGGGGGCGCCACTTGGACTTCACACTCACGCCACAGGACCGGCGAACCGTGATTGTGGCATGGCGACCTGAGCCACTGGCTGCCCGGACTCCTCAACTTGGGGAGTGACTCGCGAGGTAAGCCGCGCGTCTGACCGCTTCCTAAACCTAGCTCTCGCCCACGCTCTGAATTCAGCCTTGCCTCCCTTGGGCGTCAGAGCCCACCGAACTCCCTAGCCCAGTGTCAGCCATGAGGAGCAGATCTTAAAACAGCGCCTGGGGTTTTGCTTGTGTGTTTATTTTTAACAGATGCCTACAACTTTTAACACGCTGCCTGGCAAAATGGCTCTATGGAAACTCCGTTGCCAGGGCCCACAAACGGCGGCTCCCTGAAGTCCCTTGACGTTTTTGTAACAATTAGGCGACTGACCAATGCGACGCCACTTCCGGTGTCGTAAGGGCTCTCGGAATTCTCCTTTACAAAGATTGCCTTTGACCCCGGAAGTGAGGTCTTCCGGGTTCCTCCCTCCCCCAAGATGGCTGCGTCTGAAGACGAGTTAGAGCTGCCGCGGCTTCCCGAGTTGTTCGAAACCAGCCGGAAGCTTCTGGATGAAGTGGAAGTAGCGATTGAACCCACCGGTTCCCGGATGGTTCAAGATAAGGTGTTAAAGGCACTGGACCTCCTTGAGAAGGCTACCGAAATGTTATCACAGCTTGATTTATTCAGGTATGGGGGAGAGGGTAATAACGGCTGAGAACGAAATAATAATGGTTGCCAAGGGTGGAGCCGTTGCGCTTTGGTGGAAAGGACCTTTACGACTGTGACCCTTAAGTTGTTACTCGCTGCGATCGTGTGTATGTTTACATTGTCCGCCGCTTTTCCGAGATGATTAATAACTCTGGATTCTGTCGGCTGACTGCTTAGGCTTTGGGCGTGAGTGCTGTGCTCCTTATATAGAAACTGGCTGCTCTCGCCTTTGCCCCACTATTTCCTAGCCCTCCTCTTCCCCTGGAAGCAAAGGCCATGGTTTGAGTGCTCGGCCAGGCTTCACAGCCTCTTTTGCTCTTTGCTCTTTCCAGCCGAAATGAAGATTTGGAAGAGATTGCTTCCACCGACTTGAAGTACCTGATGGTGCCAGCGTTTCAAGGAGCCCTCACCATGAAACAAGTGAACCCCAGCAAGCGTCTAGAGCATTTACAGCAAGCTCGAGAACACTTTATAAACTTCTTAACTCAGTGCCATTACTATCATGTGGCACGGTTTCAGCTGCCCAAAACCAAGAACAACTCAGCTGAAAATAATACTGCTAGTTCCTCCATGGCCTATCCTAGCCTCGTTGCTATGGCATCTCAAAGACAGGCTAAAATAGAGAGGTGGGTCAATAGCTGTAATTTGAGGACTGCCCAATGGCAGCATTATTGGGGGGTGCATGTGCTTTTGTGTGTGTGGAGGACAGAATGGTGTATGTCAATCTTTTGGTTTTTATTGAGCATAGATCCTGGTGAGAGCAGACTTTAAAGCTTTTTTGAGAAGCCTCTGCCTTTATTGAGGTTACCATACCTAACCATTAGACCCCTACTGCTGAGAGCAGCAATGTAGTTTTGCAGTGGCTCCCAACTTTTTCCACATCACAGCATAATATTTGTATGGGGTAAATATCTCTGAAGGGCACAGTGTCTCAGAGTTGGAGTCTATGTTCTGTTGTTGAGCAGTTCTAATAGTACTGGATCGGATGTGTAACATCCTGAACACAACCTCATGATGTGACTTTGAAAAAGTTGCTTATTCTTAGTTTTTTTGTTGTTTGTTTTAACATTGAATGGGTGCTCACAGCGTCTAGAATGTATGCTAGGCATTTTGGATACAAACTGTATGAGGGGTTCTTGTCTTTGATTATCTGAAATATGGTGAAGGAAATAGAGAAACAATAACAATATAAAGTGATGTCACAAAGAGATTTATAAGGTACTGTGAGAGCAGACAGGAGGGCATTAGCCAAAGAGGGAATTAAAGAGAGGAGAAGACTCCCTGGAAAAGGTGATTTCCTGTGCAGAGTTTATTAAGGATTAATAAGAATATTATCCTGAGGAAGAGGAGAGAAGGGCATTAGCCAGCAGAGGTAACCGCATTTGTTAAGCCAAAGAAACAGTGTCAAGGTGGGGATGTGTGAGGGTGGAACAGCACCCACAAGCATAAGTGATGCTTATAACAAAGGGGGAGTGAAGAAAAGGGGAAAGGAATGATGCTGAAAATCTAGGATCCATACCAAACAAGCTTGGGATCTGAGGAAAGTGAAGGAGCAACCTTGTTCCTAAGAACTTTGGAAAGTGTTTAAATTCAGCTCCATCATTTAATTACTCTGATTGGGGGCAAGTTACCTAATTTCCCCCTCTGCAAAATTGAGATGATAATAATAGGTCCCTCCTCATAGAGTAGGTATGAGGATTGAAGTGACAGAGTATTTAGCTTAGCACAGTGTGACACAGTAAGCACTCGGAGTCAGTGAGGATTATATATTTGTGGCTAAGGGTAGGTTTGCAGAGTCTCAAATCTGGGTTTAAGTCCTAGCTTTATTTTTAGTCATTGGACTTTGGGTGAGTTACTTAACCTATATGAGCCTCAAGTTTCCTATTATGTGAAATCTAAATACTAATGATACCTGTTTCATAGGGTTAAACATAAGTGAAATAAAACACATAGAAGAGCACAACATCTGGCGCATATTTCATAAGTTTTTAGCTGCCTTTTTGGGTAGGTCAGCTAAAGAGCTTACTTTGGGGACTGGGATCAACAAGAATTTTTAAAAAGAGTTGCATGGTCATATATGCATTTTAACTAATACATTAGACCCACATAGGTCATAGAAGTGATGACTCAGTAGGGCATTGGCAGAGGGATATAAGGGATATATTTACTCAAGAGGGTTAAATCTATAGAAAACCTGGTGATTAATTGGTCGTAGGAGGTAGGATAAAGGAAGCAGCAAGGAAGATGTCCATGTTTCTGATTTAGATGTTGGCTCTGGAATTCATTGAGATGGGGAATAGAAGACAACAGGGGAGATATTTTGACTTTAAGATACCTAGAAGACATCCAAGTAGAGGTATCTGATGGCCTGAAGTTCAGAAAAGAGGCTTGGCCTAGATAGCTGAAAATTGATTAATTTATTCAACAAATATTTATTGAGCCCTTTGTGTCAGGAACTGTTCTAGATACTGGAGAACCAGACAATTCCAGTGCCATCACAGAGCTATTTTTCTGATGGAGACAGACAATAAGCCAGTAAATAATGTAATTTTAGTTGGTAAGGGCTATGAAGAATAATATACTCTGATAAGGGGATAGTGAGTGACAGTGAATGATATTTTGGAGATGTGGGATAGACTGATAACAAAGTGGAGCTTGGCAGGAGGTTATTATCTCATTTTTTGTAAGAAAAAAAGGGATAATAACCTGGGATATTCTTAACAAAAAATAGGATAAAATTGGGGAACAGCCCATTGGCATATGCCAGGTAGTTTAAACAGTGACTCTTTTATCCAATAATTATACCCAAAAAAAAGACTAAATGCCATAGATACATAGTGTTGTGGAGAGAGATGAGGGAGTGCTCTCATGTAGTTGGAGGAATGAGGAAAAAATTCCAGAATGTAACAGCATGTAAGATGAGTCTTGAAGGATGGTTAAAAATGGAAATTAAAAGAAAATAGGAATGACAGATTTTTCCTGAATGTAAAAGTAACAAAGCTCATTGTAGAAAGTTTACTGAACAAGATTAAAAATCAAAAATAAGCTTAATCCTAGTACTCATAGATGTCATTGTTAACTTCTGATGTATTTTCTTTCAGATATATAGTTATTTTAGCTAATAAATTTGGAATAATACTGTAAATATAGCTTTTATCCTGTTTTTTTAACCTAATATTATATTGTGAGCATTTCCCCATATTTTTCAAAACCATGACATTTAATGGTTATGTAATATTCCACGCATAGTTGTAACATGATTATTTAAACTATTATTGTCAAATATTTAGACTATGATTTTTTTTTGCTATTTAATACTATATGCAAATATCTTTAGCCACATCTATCTCTGTTTCCTTTGGATAGATTTCTAGAAGGACCAGTGATTAGGTCAAAGGGTTTGAATATTTTAAAGTTCTTTATATGGGGTAACTGTTACTGCTCACAATAACAGAATTTCAGAGTATGTCCCACTGCACTTAGAAAATCCAATTGGGCAAATAGAAAGTGGTATCTTATTATTTAGGTCTGCATTTCTTTGGCCTACAAGCTTGATCTTTGACGTTTTTCTTTTCTTTCTTTTTTTCCCCCCTTTGGCGCTGGGCCTTATATGCACTAGGCAAATACTCTAGTGTCTGACAGATGAGATAGCAACACTATCTTTATGCTAATAGCTCCCACTTTCATATCATTAGCCCAGACGCCTCTTGACCTTCAGATCCATACTTCCAGCACACTTTGTGGGTGTTTCATAGACATCTCAAATTTAACATGTGATAAAATTGAACTCTTGGCTCCCCCACTACCCGCCGGAGTACTGGGTATTGATTGAACTGGGGGGCCTTGTGCATGATAGGCAAGCACTCTACCACTGAGCTACACCCCAAGCCCATGGCTTTTTCTTTTATTTATTTATTTATGTATTTATTTTTTGTTCCTTGCAGTGCTGGGGATCAAACCCAGGGCCTCGTGCATGCTAGGCAAGCACTCTACCACTGAGCTACAGCCCAAGCCCAAACCCTTGGCTTTTTGACCCCCAAGTGTACTCCCATGCCCCAGTCTTCACCATCTCAGTAAGTACACCACCATTCAGCCAGGTATGTAAGCAAGAACCCTAAGAGTTAGCTTCAATTCCTCCCTTTTTCTGAATTTCCTCGTGTAGTCTATCAGCAAGGCCTGTCAGTTCTAGCCACAAAAGGTATTGCCTATTTCCCTTCATCTTCACTAGCATACCTCAGTCTAAGCCACTGGAATCTCTCATCTGAAATAGCTGAACTACTAACTACAAGGCCCTGCATGATCTGGTCCCTGTCGCTCCCATCTCATTGTGTACATTCTCCCCTCATTGAATAGACTCTAGCTGTCACCTTTCAGTTCTTTAACAGACATGGTTCCTTTCCTTTGTTGAATTTTTGTACATCCTGTTCTCTTTGCATGGAATGCTCTTTATATGGCATATTCTCATTCTTTTTGGTCTTAAATGTCTCTTTTTGGAGAGGCCTTTCCAGACCATTCTCTAAGTTAATGTCTGCCATTCTGTCTCTTTGCTCCATGTTTGTTTCTTTCATGGCATTTATCTCACATGCAGTTATTTCTGTCTTTCTGGGTTTTTGTCTCTCTCCCCTACTACATGTATACATGTATACTCCATGAGGGCAGAAGCCATTTTCCTCATTCACTGTGGTATGCCTAGCACAGGGCCTGGCACATAGAAGGTGCTCAAGCAATATTTGCTGTTGACAAGCAAGAGAAATGACGTGAGCAAAAGCCCCAAAGCAGGTAGATTAAGCTATGTACAGGGAATAGATAATAGCCTGGTTTGGCAGAAGTTAAGTACAGTATGGACAGAGTTCTGCGTAAGGAATAGATATGTACAAAGTATTGAAAGGGAAATGAGAAAGACAAAAGTATTCTAAATAGGATGAAGTAATAAAAATGAAGTTATAGATATCATAGGTACTATTTTTATAAGAAGCATTGATAGGATTAGAAAACAAATTATTCAGGGCTGGGGGTGTAGCACAATGAGCACTTGCCTACTATGCATGGGACCCTGGGTTTCATCCCCAGCAACACACATACACATACATACTATTCAGATCCTTCTTTACTTTCTATAAGTTCCCCATCAATGACTTCAGGCAATGAGGCCATCCTAAATAAAACATCTAAATGGTATGTCTTTCCTCTCTCAAACCTGTTTCTTCACGTATGTTCTCTAATTCCCATCTTTGAGGAGTGAGTGTGAGTCTGGTTGTTTAACAGCACCTCCATTCTTTTGACAGAACTGAAGAAGTAGAAGCTGGGTAAGTAATGACTCTAGTTTGGGATTTACTGAATTTAGGTCCTAAAATGACAACTGGATAGCCATTTCCATAGACTTGGAAATGTGCAACTAAAATTTATGAGATTGTTTTGTGGCTGATGCAAAAAATTAGGAGTCTTCTGTTATGGTGAGTATGCATGAGTTTTCCAAGGAAAAACAAGAGGGAAAGAGTAATCAAAGGAAAAAGACTCAACAAGGTAAATAAAGGAGAACTTACCAAGAGAACAAATGCAATGTCCTCTTTGAAGCCTTTCCCTCCCTTTCCTGCTGATACTATGGCACTTAGTTGATATTACTTATCACAGCATGACACTTAGTGTCTAGACTTGGAACTCTATAAGCTCAGAGACCATAAGTAATTGTATTTTACTATCCTAATTGTATCATTGTATCTCTTGGTGCCCATTCAGTAATTGTATCAAAGTATTTGTAGAGAAAGGAACAGGTATGAATGGTATTCAGAAAGATGGAAGCAATACGGTGTATTAGAAAGATTATTTGGAATCAGACCTGGGCTGACCATTTTCTACCCTTATAGCCTCAATTTCCTCATCACTGACAAAATTTGTGACAAAGCATTTTTATGTGTATTTTTCCCATTTTTGTGTGCATTTTTCCATTTGATCCTCTTAGCAACCCCATGAAATAGACCCCCATTTGGGAACTGTGGAAATAAGCTCTGAGAATTGACTTGCCAAAAATTACATAGCTCTGCATACATGGGCAGGCTAAGATTTAAACTCAGGTCTTTAAATTCCTAGTCCTAATCCTGTTTCGTCTGTACAATAGAAAAGAGTGCATCATTTGAAAGGGTAGAAAATGGGTTGAGGGAAAGTGTTTCCAAAATGGAAAAGGCACCAATAGAGTAAAAAAATAATAGCTGCTAATGGCAGGGAAAGTGATTGATAGAGTGAAGCCTGGAGGAATGTGTTCGGAACTAGATTGATAGGGAAAGTGGAATGGCAATGACGTGAGTAAAATTTACAAGAGTAAAAGAGGAAGAGTGGATCTGCAGAGATTTTTAAGGTGAAAAGGGAAATTGGATTCTACAGTGGCTGGCTATCTGGCAAGTATGATTAGGAGACGAAGTCTCCTCAGAGGGTAAACAAAAAGCTAAAACTGGTTAATAAGGGTTTGTAGTTAATCCATTGACAAATGTTTAATTCCTTAGATCTGTTCACCAGCTTAGAAACAACAAGGGAAGGGTGAAAGTTTCCCAGAGTCAAAGGTCACAGGTAGGGAATTTTAAGGTTTTAGGGACTGCTTCTATGTTATATGGCCCACTATGGGAACTCTAGAACAGTGATGAAGTCTAGGACAGTGGTTTTCAGTCTGTTCCTCAAGACCCTAAGATTTCACCATTGTCTGAGTAATGTTGGGAACTCTCCTGATTCCATTAAGGCAGATTTTATTTGCTCATAAATTATTGGGTTTCCATATAAGCTCTCATTAGAAGATAGGATTCTATTGCCAAGACAAAATGGTTTTAAAACACTGGTCTAAAAGAGCAGGTGATAAGCAGCCAGAAATCTAAAAAATGAAAAAGAGCCAAATCACAGAAGCAAGGAAGTGGAAAAGAAGGAAGGGAGCAAAAAGTATGGGGTTGTACACATAAGGAGAATGAGAAAAGAAGCAAAAGAACCTTAGTCAGAGGACCACTAGACTAAACCAGAATTTATCCTGGATTATATACATTCTAAGGTCTTGTGGTGTGTGTGTGTGTGTGTGTGTGTGTGTGTGTGTGTGTGTGTGTGTGTGTGTTTTTCCTGTGACATAGGTACCTCCAGGAAAGAAAGTAGGGGTAGCAGTAGGAATGGTTAAACATTCTCAGATCATATTGCTAGTAGCATTCATGAGCTAGGAATTGACCTTTGTAGTATTTTATTTAGAAGTCTAGCTATCATGGTCTGTGACAGTTGTTTAAAATGCCAGTTTATTGGGTAAAAAGAGCAGAAGAACCTAAAATTTTTGATAACAAAGAGTGTTCCCAGAGTTGATTTTTTCCATGAATCCTGGACCCCTGTGATAATTTGAGAAATATATCAAGTTATATACATATACATATATATATGTATATGTATTTTTAAATTATGTTTTTTAGTTGTAGGTGGACACAATAACCTTTATTTTATTTTTATGTGATTGAACCCAGTGCCTCCTGCATGCTAGGTGAGCGCTCTACTGCTGAGCCACAACCCCAGCTCCTCAAGTTACATTTTAAATACATCTATATCTCACCCTCTCCATCTCCCTCTTTCAAGTTATATCCTCTCACCTGGATTGTGGCAGTATTCTCTGAATCACTTTCCCTGTGATTCCACCCTTGTTTCCCAGCCCTGACTCCACACAACACCAGAATGCCCCATATATTTTTAGAAAAGTCTTCATGTCTCTCTGTTTATTCATGTCATGTATTCTATTTAAAGCCTCAAGTGGCTTTCCCATCTCACTCAAAATACCATGGTATTTGGTATTTGGAGGTATCAAGGCCTACAAGGTTCTACACATTATGCCCTGGCTTGCTTGCTCTCTGACCTCATTTCCTATCACTCTTTTTCACATTCCAGCCATAATGGCCGCCTTGTTATTTCCCAAACATGCCAGGCCAGGTGCTCTTCCTGAGCCTTTGATTTTCTTTTCTTAGAACGGTTTTCAGATATCTGTATGACTTGCTTGCTTGTTTGCTTGAAAGCTTTGCTCAGATGCCAGCTTTTCAGAGATGTCTCTCCTGACCACTTTGTATATAATAGCACTCCTACTTTCACACCATCACTCAATCCACTTGACCTTGGTTTTTATTGCTTCACAGTACTTAGACCTGACTCATCATCTCTCTCTTTGTCTGTCTTCTCCCACTAGAATGAAAGCTTCACAAAAGCAAAGAATTTCTTTTATAGACTGTATCTCCAGCACTAACAGTGCTGATCACACAATAGGCACTCTGGAGATATTTGTTGGATGAATGATAGATATACTAGAATATATTCTGAAAAAGGCAGCTAGGTGTTTATGAGTCTTTGAATTAGATAAGTATGAGTCAGAAGTGCTGGTAATGTTTTGCCTCGAAGAAAAGAGATGATCATTTATTAGGCTGTTTTACAAGGAATTCCTATATCAATAGCAAGTAAATGACCCCTAACATTCTATGATTCTTTGAAGATTTTTTTTTCTCTCAATTGGAAACCCTGTGGGAAGCACTGTGTGACACTAAGCACATAGTCAATTCAGGGTTGATATAATCAGATGACTAAAGTACACTCTCCCTAGAGATTATGGCAGGACGTGCCAAGATCAGATTACATCTATATTTTTCTGGCTTCAGAATGTTATTTCTCAGCCTCTTTTAGGCCCTTCCTTGCTTTGTAGTCTGAGGGAATTGGCTGGTGGCAGGCTCTGGGTTATAGAATCTATATTCCTGTCAAGATGGAAATCTGTGTACTTACTACCTGGACATTTGCAAAGGTAAAAACTTAGGGTGGCCTTCTTTTGAAGGAATACCTCTTTATTTTTAAGTTCATGGGTAATACTTTTCTGTGGAACAGATACAAGCAGAAGAAGGAGGTGGAGCATAGGTTGTCTACACTGAAATCTGTTGTGGAAAGTGGTCAAGCAGATGATGAACGTGTTCGTGAATATAACCTCCTTCAGCTTCGGAGGTGGATTGGTATCAGCTTAGAAGAGATTGAGAGCATTGACCAGGAAATAAAGATCCTGAGAGAAAAAGACTCTTCAAGAGAGGTAAGCCTGGTCACTGACCACATAGCTCAAAATGCTGCTGTGAGAAGGTCGAATATTCTACAGGAGATTAATCAATTAAAATCCTTGTAAGTCTGTAAAATCATTGTTCTTAATAGGATAAGTAGAAAAAAGCTGGTGGTTCACTAGGGTAGCTTTCTCTTTAGCTTGTAATAGCATTCCCCAGAGCTTTCTGCTCTGTAACACACTTCTAGTTATTTGTAATTTTATGACATAGCATGGGGGACAGAGACTTCCCTGAAATGAAAATTGATTTTGGCTGTGGCAAGTCATAGCTGCTTAAGGCAGGCATAGGAAGGGAGGCCTTTAAAATCTGCTTGACTGTGATAATGGGAAAGAATAGGATGGGAATGGGAAAGAAAAACAGAACTGGGAAGAGAGAGAAAAGAGAAATATTTAACAAAAGACCAGAGAGTGTGTTTAGGTTGGGGGAGGAATTAGAACTTAACCTTACACAGAGATGCACTCTCACACGTTTAGTTCCCCCAAATAGGAGACACCAGAGCTAGGACATCTCCATGCACAGAATGCCCAGAATAATGGTAAAGAAAACCTGGTGTAACTCAGCTTTGGCTGTCTTTGAAGATCCTAACCCTGTTTTGGAGCTGCTGCTTCAAAAGGATAGGCTGTGCTATCACTTGTTCTTTGGTACAAGCTGCAACATGAATTGAGTTGAATTTATCAGCTGGTTACAGGCATTTACTTAAGTCCTGAGAGAAAACCTCTTCCTAATTTGTTTTGTGCTAATTATCCCAGGACCTCTTGCCTCAGGATAATATCAACCTAGTTCTTCCTGTTAAAAGATCAAAGAATAAGCAGTTAGTATTCTAAGGGGCCATAAGGCCCTTTGGGCATATCCAAATGAGTGGTTTTCAAGCATTTTGAGGCTAGACTCTTCTGGATCCTGCCCTGTCCCTTTCTTTGTTTGGTGGGTGTTTTTTTTTTTTATTATTTTTTTTAATTTTTTTATGCTTTCTCGTGTAGTATTGGGATTGGCTTTTGAGATTATGAAGCTAGAACAAAATGAGCACCGTTTTTTTAACCATTCTTTGTTTCCTTGTATCCCTAGAAAGCCAAGGTTCCTTGAAACATTTCTGTATACCTTTTCACAAAAACTTCTGCCTATCCTCTCCCCTTTCATTTGTAAACATCCATTTTCAAAACACCCTAGGGGTTCTTGATAAATATTAGCATAATTATATTGGAAGGAGTTTTAGAAGGGACTTTAATAATTCATTTAGCATTTCCACTGAAGGCCAAGCTGAGGAAAAGGGCTTCAAATTCAGCTCAAGGAATTTAGATGGAACATGGAAGGGACTTTGAAATCTCCTTGGGGTGGGGGGGGGGTATTTATTTATTTGGTACTGGGGATTGAACCCAGGGGTATTTTGCCACTGAGCTATATCCCTAGTCCTTTTGTTTTTGAGACATGGTGTTGCTAAGTGCTGAGGCTGGCTTTGTACTTGCGATCCTCCTATCTCAGTTTCCCAAGTTGCCGGAGTTACAGGTGTGCACCACAACGCCTGACTGGAGGGGGTGTTTTTAAATATAGTAATTTTTTTCTAGTGGTAAGAAGATTTCTGGAGAACGTTCTCAACTTTCTCTTTTTAGCAAGGTAGTCAAGTCCCCTCGAGAGCTATATCTTTAAGACTGACACAGAAAGTGGGTGAATTTTTAATCCGAGCTTTTCTAACACCAAAAGACTTGAGAGTCTGCATGATAGGTGGGTAAAATGGCAAACACACCTCTGAAATTTATTTTCTTCTTAGGCATCAACTTCTCACCCAGAGTCTCTTCAGGAGAGGCCTCCAATGAAACCCTTCGTACTTACTCGGAACAAAGCCCAAGCCAAGTAGGTAGTACTGGAAAGTGGTTTACCTTTACAGTCCCCTGTTTTGATGGCTCCATGGCAGTGCATGAGTGATTCCCAGAATGGGTATTGTGGAAAGTCATGTCTTCACCTATGGAAGCCATTCTTTCATCAAAGGGATGTTAACTCTCTTGATACTTTTTTTTTTAATATTATTTTTTAGTTGTAGATGGACACAATGCCTTTATTTATTTTTATGTAGTGCTGTGGATCGAACCCAGTGCCTCACACATGCGAGTCATGTGCTCTACCACTGAGCCACAATCCCAGCCTTTGATACTTTCTTTATGTGTCTTTCTCAGTCATTTCCTTCACATTGAACTTAAAAAGAAGGAAATAAAACAGGAAGAAAAAGGAATCTAATGGAGAATTATTATTTTTAGAAGTTTTCCATCATTCCTATTTTTCCTGCCTTCAACTGCAATTCTCAAAAGGACTTTTCTATAATTTAATTGCTTTTCTATAATTTAATTCTGAGTTATTGATGCTATTCCATAGGGTGGTCTTCCAGAGGCCACCAACTGTAAATTCTCATTCCACAGTGTGATCATTGCTCTGTGGGGCATTGGCTTATTGGGAGATGATCCTGAGCTGTTTATTTTCTCATGCAAGCTCTTGATTTCAGTGTGCCTTCTGGGATGCCTCTTTTTATGTATCTTCATGGTTGGTTGTACAAGTCCTCAGAAGAGAGTTGGGTAGAGGAATAAGACTGAAGCAGACACGACCTTGTCATTAAAGTAAAAAGGCTTATTAATGCTGTTATTTTATTTTCTAAGTGCAATGTGATTTTTGCAGAGTATTTGGAGCTGGTTATCCAAGTCTGGCAACTATGACAGTAAGTGACTGGTATGAGCAGCATCGAAAATATGGAGCATTACCAGATCAAGGAATAGCCAAAACAACATCAGGTATGTAGGAGTGAGGGGAAAATAGCTGCATTACTGATCCCTTACTCTCTGGTAATGAAATTCTGAGATGTTATTGCCCTTTGAGGAGTAATCTGGGCAAAGATTCTAAGTAATAGAAAGATTTTAGGCAAGGTCATGTTTATAATTAAAATAAATAGCAGATTATTCTGGGAGGATGGGGATAGTAGCAGTATAATTTGTCAATTTCTCCAGGTATCATGACATTAAAAACAGCAAAAAGATAGAAAAACCAAGAATCCATGGACAGCAATTCATCTTTTATAATGGCAGAGMAGGTTGTATCAGGCCAGCCCTGCATACACATTAACAATTATAAACTGAACAAAATATTTTTTAAAAATTACCTGAAGGCACTGGAGAGTGATCAGAAACAGGCATAAACTGGAAGGCAGACAACACTTCTGGTACTTGGAATTTGTTGAGAATAGGGACTTTGACTTCATATATTCTTGGTGCCCAACTTGAACAGTCTCTTTGGTATCCAAAGATGGAGAGAGTAGCCCTCAGAAAGGTGAGAGTCATATGGTGTAGCAGAATAAGGATGGAGAGACCTGGGGTGACCAACCCAAATCTTGCCACTTAACAGATGGAACATCATCCAGCCCCTTAGAGCCTCAGTTTTCTTAATGCATTTAACCCTCTTTTTACAAACCCATGAAGTAGACATTCTTATCCCCATTTTAAGATGAGGACATGGTCTCTATAAACTGAATTACCATATGATAGTGGTCAAACTAGGATTTAAATTCAGGCCTTCCAAATCCCAGCCATAGTGCTGTTCTTTTCTAGCACAGAAAATAGTGATCATTTGAAAGGGTTTCCTATATTTTTCATAGCTCTTCATCTGTGGGCAGTTTGCAGTTTCTGTGATGTGGAATAGCTAAAATCTGGATAGAAACTGCTCTCTTGTTCATTGAGGAATTAGACAACTGAGTCCAGGGTAACTAAAGAAACTGAAAAGTGAGGGGGAGGGTATCCCAGAAAGGAGAGAACCAAAGTGAAGTTTCCTTGATTCTGCATATAAACCCTGCAGAAATCTGTGGATAACTCCTAAACTCTTCATGTACAGAATGGACTTCAAGCACCTTAATAACTAGTGGAAAATTCAACTATTTCACAGTCCAAGGGAGGTGGCATTTGGCATTTTGGTCCTAGACAAGTTAGTCACCTTGTAAAATTTAAAAGTCAGTACTCTTCAGAGGAATTAAACAATTCAGAATCTTTATAATACAGATATTCCTCAACTTGAGAAAGGGTTACATTCTGGTTAAACCCATCATAAATTTAAAACATGAAAAGTGGAAAATAGAGCTAGCCTACTAAACATCACAGCTTAGCAACACAACATACTGTAGAATGTGGGTTGTTTACCCTGGTGATTGTATGACTGGCTGCTCAGCATCAAGAGAATCATACTGTATATTGCTAGCCTTGGGGGGGATCATAATTTAAAATTTGAAATACAGTTGCAGTTATGTGCATATCACTTTTATACCATTGTAAGTTGAACCATCATCAGTTAGGGACCACCTGTGTACAATTCATATTGTTTAGGATCCAGTCTTAAGCTACTAGACATGGGAAAAAAAAACAGGAAATTGACTCATTTTCAAGAGGAAAGGCAATCAAAGAATATCAACCTCAGGTGTTGGAATTTATCAAGACAGGGAGTTAAAAAGGACAGAGAGGGAAATAAGCGTATAATGAATGAAAAGCTAAGAAATTTCAGGAGTGAAATAGAAACTATACACCAAAAAATTCTAGAACTAAGCAAGGCCTGGTGGTGCATGCCTTTAATCCCAGTGACTTGGGAGGCTGAAGCAGAAGGATCATAAATTTGAGGCCAGCCTCAGCAATTTAATGAGACCCTGTTTCAAAATAAAAAGGGCTGGGGATGTAGCTCAGTGGTAAAGCTCCCCTGGTTCAATCCCCAGGACCAAAAAAAGTTCTGGAACTGAAAAATAATATCTGAAATGTAAAAATGTCTAAATCAGCTTGATAGCAGACTGGCTGACAGAATCAAGTATCAGCTTAAAGATCAATCAGAATTATCTACTCTGAAAAAAAAAGGATTGAAAAAAGTAAACAGTAACTTGGTGACCTGTGGAACGATGTAAAAAGGTTTAATGTACATGCAATTGGAGAAGGAGATGGGGGCAGAAAAAATATTTGAAGAAATGGATGGTTGCTGCACATTTCCCCAAATCTGTGAAACACATTTATAGATTCAGAAATCTTGAAAAGCCCCAAGCAGTTTATTAAATATGAAGAAAATCATACATAGGCACATCATGGTTAAAATGCTAAAAAACAAAAGAAGAAATTTTGAAAGCAAACAGGGATAAAGTATACATTCTGTATAGGAGAACAATGATATGTATAGGAAAACAATGATATACATTGTTGCTGACTTCCCATTAGAAACAATGGGAGCCAGAGACAGTGAAGTGCCTGGGGGTGGGGAACTGCCAAACCATCACTTTATATCCATTGAAAATATCCATAAAACTAAAGATGAAATTAGGGCATTTTTAGGTAAATTAAAGCTAAAAGGATTCTTCACTAGAAAACTGGCATTAAAGAAATGTTATAGTTCTTCAGGCTAAAGGGAAAGATATCAGATAAAAGCTTGGGTATTCAAGTAGGAATGAAGAGCGGCAGAAATGGTAATTAAGTGGTAACTACTACTCTTCCCTGCCTACATAAATAATTGTTTAAAAGTATATATGGCTTCTTGTAGCAAAAAATTGTTTTGTATTGTCTTTTTAGGTTTATAATATAACAGATGTAATGTATGTGACAGCGGTAGCAAAAAAAAAAATACAAACAGTAAATGGAACTATATGTGAGATTTCTTCCGTTTTATATGGTACATATTAACTGTTGCTGTGTAACAAATTGATATTTAATAGCTTAAAATAATAAACATTCATTGTATCACATAGTTTCTAAGGATGAAGAATCCAGGAACACCTGAGTGGTTCTGGCTCAGGGCCCCTCATAAAGTTGCTATCAGCTGGAGCTACAGTCTTCTGAAAACTTGACTGGGGCTGGAGGATCTGTTGCCATGCTCACTGATGATGGTTGATAGCAGGAGGTCTCTCTACAGAGTTGCTCACAATTAAACATCTTCCTTTCCCCAGAATAAACTGAGAGAGAGATTGAGCCAAGATCAAAAGCCTTGGTGTCTTTTATAACTTAATGTTGGAAGTGATGTTCTATGACTTCTTCCATGTTCTTTGTTCACATAGAACAACCCTGATATAGTGTGGGAAAACCTGAATTCTAGGAGAGTTGGATTGTTGGGCACCATCTTTGAGGCTGCCTACCACAGGGTATATTAATTCTGAGTAGACTGGAAAGTTAGAGATGAAGATTGTATTTCCTAGAACAACCACTTTAAAGATGCATCCAGACAATGAGAAAATAAGCCATAGACTGGAAGAAAACACTTGCTAAAGATATTTCTGATAAGAAACTGTTATCTAAAATGTACAAAGAAGGCTTAAAACTGGACAGTAAGAAAATGAATAGTTCCATCAAAAATGGGCCAAAGTCCTTAACAAACACCTCGCCAAAGAAGATATACACATGGAAAATAAGTATATAAAAAGATGTTCCATGTCATATAACATCAGGAAAATGCAAATTAAAACCATGGTGAGACACTATTGCACACCTATTAGAATGGCCAAATTCAGAACACCATAAATATAAATAGAATAAGCATTCAGATTAGAATTAAAGAATAGATTATCATGTCCAACTGCATACTATTGATAAGAGATATTTTTCTAAATACAAAGACAAAAGATGAGAGAGATACACCATGCTAACAGGAGATAAGAAAGCTGTAGTAGCTATATTAATATTAGATATATTACAGTGTACAGTTCAGTGGACTTAAGGACAAAAAGTATTACTGGAGAAAGATTTCATACTGATAAAGGGGTAGTTGATCAGGAATATACCAATGATAAGGGTGTTTATACCTATAGCAAGTTTCAAAATACATGAATAAAATATTTGACAAAATTAAATGGAGAAACAGACAAATCTACCTTTATGTTTGGAGATTTTAGTACCTCTTTTTCAATAATTCATAGATGTAGTGAACAAAATTCAGGATACAGGAGAAGATCTGGTTAACATCTCAGCCACCTCAATATATTTAATATTTATAGAACAACTATATCCAACAACTGCAGTGTACACCTTTTCAGATGTACATGGTACATTCAACAAAGGTAGACCATATTAATGGGCCATCAATAAATCTCAGTAAATTTGCATATGTGAAGTCACAGTAATCAGATTATAATGGGATTTTGGAATTAAATTAGTAATCAATAATATACCTAGAAAGTACTCAGATATTTAAAAATTGACTTACACCTAAATCACCCATGAGTCAAAGAAGAAATCACAAGGAAAAATAGAAAATGCTTTGAACTAAATGATAATGAGGGAAGAATATCAACATTTGTGGAATAGAGATTAAAGTAGTGCAGAAGGAAATACGTATAACTTTCTCAACCCTTAAGTTAGAAAAAAGGAAGAAAAAAATCAACTACTTAGTAAGATTCTACCTTCCTAAATCAGGAAAAAAAAGAACAAAGTAAGCCCAAAGTAAATAGAGGAAACAAGAAAGATAAGGAATCTAGTGGGTGATGAAGGTAGGTGATAGTGATCCATAAAAGTTGAACGTACATATACCTCAGTGACCTTATAATTTTATTCCTTGTTATGTACATGAGAGGAATAAGACCATATGTCTACAATATTATACAAGATTGTTTATAGCATTGTTCTTTGTAATAGCTCAGAGTGAACACTACTCAAATGCCCATAAATACTAGAAAGGATGAAGACATTTTATATATTCACATAGTAGACTAAAGGTTAAAGTAACTATAGTTCTTCAGCTGTTAAGTGGCAAATCTTATTGAATCTTGCAAAGCAGATAGTCCTTAAGATCT